GTTAAAATATATTGAGTTTTACAACTAAAGTGAAGATTACATCCAAGATTCTGGGAGGTCAAAGCCCTTGAAAATTGGGTGCAAATAAATATGGAAATAAAATTATCGGGCGTAGAATTGGAGATTTTAGAGTTACTGACTAAAATCCTTGATTCAGTCCCATCATTTGGGTGCTGAAGTGTAGATGTTAGCCCTGAGGCGAGGGAAATGTGGGAGATTTGAATGTGGGAGATTTGAAGTGAGAGTCGGTTCCTCACAGCTTAACCGCAGACTCAGTAAACAAGCGTAGGATTAGTCAATGTTCTTTATGCCTGAACCAATGGGTAAAGAATATGTATGCTCCTATTTGGAATAGCATAATTTGACAGATTCACTTTATCCATTCACTATAATTTCTTGACAAGGAGAATGATGATTTATTATATATTGAATATGACATTAAAAACTTTCTTAGTATACTTAGTAATTTAAGAGTTATTAAAATTATATATTTATTTCAGTTGTCTATTAGTGACAGATAAGCAATTTGAATTCCATTGTTGTGATTAAGTATTGCTTTTCTAAAAATCTTAGTTCGTAGTTCTAATATTACTCCATGTGGGATCGATATCTAAGACTCCCTCCATTAGAGCCCTATATTACTTAAACGATACGTATACTTGCGTTGATAAGTATGATTTTACCATTATTGAATATTATATATATACATCTTTATCGAATCTATAACCGTTGTTAAGTTTTTTGTGTCATTGCAGAGGATTAAATCTTCTAGCAGTAGTATTAAATACTTGTATTTTTAAGCATATATAAAGTCGATGTCACTGCATTCAACAACACAAAGACTACCTCGATGAATGGTATTTGGTGAATATTTTAGTGTCTTACGATGTCAGAATTAAGTGATCATAGTCTTGTTGGATTTGCCTCACCAAGAGACTTAGTTTGATAATAGGCTTGTGAGACTTGCAAACTAACATTTCAAATATGTAATGAAAACTTACAAAAGTTATTTATTAGCTTGATCTAGGCTTGTTTTTACTTAGAATGGACCAATTTTTGGATTGTTTAGGCCTGTCTCATTGAATTGATCAATTTAACTGTAAGTTTGCGGAGATTGAAATTCAACATGATTTTTATTTAAAATTTAAATATTATTGATTTAAAAAAAAATTTATGATTCGTTTCATATCGCGATATTTATGTCATATGATAAATTTGGATGCTTTTTCTTGCCTTTTAGATATTCATTTTTCCAAGTATAGTATCTATTTGGTTTATATTATTGCAATATTTCTCATTTTATTTATGTAGTTTGTTTTATTAATCTTTGGTATGCATAATATTGATACTATTTGTAATTTATATAATATTTTTTATAATTTCTACAAGTATACTAGTTTGAGAATTAATAAAGATAAGGTTATTATTTGTTTTACCAAGTCTATTGATTTGGATCTTCATAATTATTTATGTGAGATTAGCTGTTTCATATTGAAACATTTACCTTGGTATTACATAGGTTTGTCTATTAAATCTTCTAAATTGTCTGCTTCTGATTGTTATAAGTTGTTAAATAAATTACAAATTTAGTTTGTTGGTTGGAAGCTTCACAAGTTTTCTTTAGCTTGTAGATATAAGTTATTGAAACAAACTATCTTGAGTTATATTTACTATTGGTTTCGTGTTATTAATTTTTCTAAAAGTTTGAGGAAAAAAAATTCTTCAATATTTCATAATCTTCTTTAAAGTAATGGCTCTTCTTCTAAGCTTCACACTACTTCTTGGCTTAATACTTCTAAACCTAAGAAAATCTAAAATTATTTAGAGGTTTTTTAAAGTTCCTTTTATTTTAGCTAGTTGGTGCATTAATCATTATGGTTCTATATGGTTTAAGCCTAGTAGTAGCTCTACCTCTTTTTGGAATGATCTGGTTCAAGTGCTTTTAGAATTAGACGTTGTTTGATATTTCAAATTACTTCCCAAAGTTCACTTTTTTTTTTATTTTGACCCTTGGTTCAATGGAAGTTCTCTTTTTGAGAAATTTGGTAATAAGATTTATAGTTGCTTTAATATTCCTACTTTTTCTAAAGTAGGTGATGTAATTCTTATTAATAATTAGAATTTTTCTTCCTCTTGTGTTATTTCAAAGGCTTGTATGAGATATATTCTGAAGATTCCTTTTAAATTTAATTCTATTAATTGTCTTTGGAAAAGACATGATAAGTTTGCTCATAAATTCATTTATAATCTTATCATTGATAACTCTTATTTAATAAATTGGTACAAGTATGTTTGATTTAAAAGTTTCTCCCTTAAATTTGCTATCATTGCTTGGAAATTTTAGTTTATGGTATGAAAACTTGTGATAACTTGACTGTTAAATATATAATTATAAATCAGTGTTGTGTTTTATATTTGCATCATAATGAATCACACAATCTTCTATGCTTTTAATATTACTTTTCACATTCCTTATTAAAAGTATTTATTCCTTATGGGAAATCATGTCTTTTAAGTGGTAACATGTTATATATTCTTTCTCAGGTGGATTCTATTGATTGTAGTATTATTCAAAGATTTTAATTATTAGCAACCCATGTTACTTCATATTACAACTGACAGGAGAATAAAGATAGAATTTTCAATAATTCATTCTTTTTTATGGATGTCTTGGTTTTAAATTTCATGAGATGATTAAGTGAAAAAGTAGATGATGGAAGTTCAAAGTCAATGTTCATGTTTTGATTAAATATCATTATTTGTTTTTTTTTTCTTTTTCTGCTTCAGATTTTATTTCTACTGTTTTGTTATGATTTTTTGTTTTTCTTCCTTTGATTTTTTTTTACCTAGTTGATTTTTTGTTTTTTCACGATATCACATATTCTTGTTGCTCAATTGGGTGGTTTCCACTTAGTGGCATGCTTTATTGACAAGTTTGTTTATTCCTTGATGTTTTATTTTTGTTGAGTTTGGTTAGAGTGGTAATAATCTCTACCCCTTATTATAATTTAACCAGATCTGATAATACTTATATGTTCTTAGTTTGAGAGGAAATTATAATTTATGGTAGATGTCTCTTGTTGTTGATTGTGGTTGTTAGTTGCTAATAATGTCTATCTAGTTGGTATTGAAGTTATGGTAGTGTATCTTTATTATTTTGATGTTGTTTCGTTCTTTTGTCTTTTAGAATGTTTACTGTTGATAAGTTGGGTGATTTCTCTTTGATGGTAGACTTTATTGATAAGGTTTTGTATTCCTTAATTTAAACATTTGCTGAGTTGATTAGAAGTGTGACCATCTCTATTCATTACTATAATCCATCCAGATCTAAAAATATTTTATCTATTTTTAATCTTGGAGGGAATTATAATATCTTCTTGTAGGCAAGTTCTGAGCTCAGGTTTGCTGGCCAATCATTTTCTACTTATTTATATTGGTTTTTACCTCTTGCTTTTATGTATTCATTCCTAGTTTAGTTAGTTTATTTTTTTTATTGTTGTATTCTCGCTTGTTTGTATTCTTTGAAGGCTTAGAAAATGATTATTGATCTTTGAAGGCTTAGAGTTGATTTACTTGTTGCTATTAATTCTGGATATCTTTTGTTGTTCATAATAGTTGTTCGTTGTTGATGAAGCCCTTATAGTTGGTGTTGAAGTTACTGACATTGTTGCTTTACTATTTTTGGAGGTTAATATAATGAAGCCGAAAGTAAGAGTTTTTCATCCTTATTTGTTAAATATCATATCAGATTTTAATTTGTACAATTTTAACATTTATTTTTTCCCATACACACCAAGTTACAACGCGATTTAAATAAACATTTTTAAATAGTATATAGTTCTTGACCCATGCTAGTGAGTCAAGCTGACTCGTGAGTTTATTCGAGCTCGGCTCAATAAGTGGCTTGTGAACTAAGTTCGATTGTCTAACAAGCCAAGCTCAAGCTAGTCCCATTTCAACTCTTTAGTTTGTGAGTCTGTTCATTTTAAAAAATATTAATATTATATATATTTAAAATATGTTAATTTTGAAAGCTTTATTTTTATGGTATTAAAATTATTAGAAAGAATAATATTTTATATTTTATATTAAATATTTTCATATCATTTTTTTCTAATTATTCAATCTATTTTGCTATTTTATTATAACATTATCTTAAATTAAAAATTTTTTTCTCTTTTTCATAATAAAAAAGTTGGTTCATGAGCCGGCCTAAACTCACAAACTAGAGATCAAGATAAAATTAATAAAGATCAAACTCAAATTGAGTGTGGCCACTCATGTGCCATTAGACGGTCCAGATTAAATCCCACCGAAATCAATTTACTTCATTTTTACCCCTGCGCTGGATTATTATCAGCCGTCCAATCCAAATAAAAAATATCGACGGCCACAATTTCAAGAAGGAACTGAGCGGACTCCTCATCACAGTCGTTATGCGCAGGCAAAGGCGGGTGAGCATCTTCCCCGTCCACAATAAATGTTTTGCCGCTCCCCCCTCCATTTCTCTCTCCCCTTTCTCCTACATTCCCAGATCTCCGAGCTCACTCGCAAGATCAGATGAAACCCTAACCCAGCATAGATCGAATCAAAGCAACAAAGGTACAAATCTCGAGATGGCGTGGTATAGCGGCGGATTGAAGGGCTACTGGAAGCGGAGGCCATATCAGCGGATGGACTTCGAAGGAGGCACCGGCGGCAGGAGATTGAGAAGGAGCAAAAAGGTTGTCCTCGGGGGCGGCAAGAGGCAGCGAATCTGGCGCATTAAAGTATCGCCAAGGCTCCGATTCCTGCGGGTTCTGTCACCCAAGCGGCTTATCGCAGGGATCCGAGACGCGTATGTTCGTATGATGCTCGCGTTCGCAAGCTCCGGCGCGATCGCTGGATATGGGGGCGATGGGTTTGGGGGATTCAATGCGCCGCCGGTGAAGGAGTACGACGAACGGATGATAATCGAGATCTACAAGTCGCTCATGACCGAGGGCAAACTTATTGCTGCTTCAGGTGTTGGGGGTGTCGTACCCTCAAGCAAGCTTGTCGTGCGGCGTTAGGTCTGATCTGTCTCTCTATTCTTCTTAGTCTTTCTGCTTACTGTGTTGTTTACATTCATGGCTGAAAAATAAAAAAAAAATGGAACCCTTCTAGTTTTGTTCTGTTTGCGTTTAACCATTGAAGAATGGAAGATGACTGGAACCCTGTTGCTCTGTTTCACGCAGCCAGTGTTTCCTTTTCTATAATTTAATTAACGCGAAATGATATGAATTGCTAAAACCAATGACGTTGCAATGAAACTCACGATAGGCCGTCGTACTATTAATAAATAGATTCTAGCGGTTGGGTAACTTCGGTGTACCTGCTGTAAAAACACATTGTTTTTTTTTTTTTTTTGGTCATTTTAAATTTTGTTTGGATCAGTATAAATTATTTATCTGAAATTATTAACTGCAGGATTTAACCTGAATTCTGCGTTTAATGGAAAAAATCAACTATATTTTTCGATAAATTGTTCAAACACAATTTTTAAATAAAGAGATGGTGTGTTCAAATACCGTTGCAGCGGATAAGCTGTCCCAAACTAATTAAGGGTCTGTTTGGGGCAGCTTATAAGTGCGGCGGTTCGCAAGTTTCATCATCTTGTCCGAAACTGCGTTTGAGTTTTTACGATTTTTACACTAAGCACAGGCCACGGGTCGACCCCTGCCGCGGGCCGCATTTTAAGATAAGCAGCTTATCCTGAAGTGCACAAACTAGCCCAAACAGATCCTAAGTGAGAGTAATAATTCTTTTCAATATTTGTAAGCTCATGCACTTCAGATGAGACCCATAAAAGTTGTGAAATAAAGGGAACGCGAAGCAGATAATATTAAATAAATTTGGTATAACATAATATTTGTTGATGTGGCCTTATCACAACAGATTTTGTGATGGTGTGGATTACAGACTAACCTCCTCTAGAGCTGTGATTTTATATCAAAAGATTTTTAACCACTTCAAAAATTAATTTGAGTTTTGATTTGGATTGAGACTCGTCAAAATAAATGAGTTTTGCAAAGCTAAAATTTTAGATTGAATATTTTTTAGCTGATTTTAACATGACACCAGCCACATTAAAATCAGCTTGTTAACAACCTAAGCAAAGTTAAAACTGTGGATTTAGCGAGTTCAGCTCGAAGATCTTTAATTGCTTGAAAATTTACTAGATTTTTTGCTCGGATCAAGATTGAATCTAAATATAAGAGCCAAGATACGAGCCAAATTTTTATTAAATTTTTTTAGCCGATTTTGAGCTCAAAATTGGATCGTCAACATGCCTAACTAAGTTAAGAGTGGTCGGTCACATACAACTTCTTTTCTCAATCACCACTAGGGCTGTCAAAAAAGCTCGTTGTTCGCGAACAGCTCGTGTTCGGCTCGTTCGTTGAGTATACGAGTCGAACACGAACAAATTTTTAAAGCTCGAATTATAAACGAGCCGAAAATGAACAGCTCTTTGTTCGCTCATGTTCGGCTCGTTTTAGCTCGAAATAAAAAAATATATATATAATTTTTTTATATAACAATATATTACATATATTATTTAGATAATAATATATTATATATTTTTATGCCTATGTTTAAATCATAACACCTCATATGACAATGTGATTAGTGTCTTCTTTTGTTTATATTTGATCCAGGTTCGAATCCCACACTTTATATCTATTTTTCTCAATTTAATTTTAATGAGCCAATTTCGAACCGAACACGAGCCGAACACGAACGCTAATATTTAAATCGAGTCGAACACGAACACACTGTCACGACCCTATTTCGAACACGAGCCGATTTCAAACACGAGCTATTTCGAACGAGCCGAACACGAGCCAAGCCGGAGCTCGCACCAGCCCGGAGCTCGGCTCGTTTACAACCCTAATCACCACCGGTACCCTGCATACGATATTTGATAGCTAGTGTTTGTTGGTTAAACAGGTTTATCAACCTGATAACCCAAATTCAATAAAAGAAACCCACCCGAAAATACAACTTCTCGTTGTTCGTGAACAGCTCGTGTTTGGCTCGTCTACCAAGTAACACAAACAAATATTTGTTCGCTCATGTTCAACTCGTTCTAATTTGAAACAAAGAATTATTTATATTATTTATTAAATAATATATTATATATATTTATGTTTAAATTTAAATCATAATGACTCATGTGGCCATTTTAACTCTTTTTCTTCTATTGCAGAGAGATAATGCACGCCCTATATTTATTTTTTTAATAAACTTTAATGAGTCAATTTTGAGCAGAGCATAGGCTGAATATAAAAATGAATATTTAAATCGAGCCTAACAAGAGCACATTGTTCATGAACCGACTCGAGCCGATTTCAAACACGAATAATTTCAAACTAGCCAAACTTGAGCTCACTCATTTTCAGCGCTAATAGAAGGAATTTGGTAACAGGGACCTAGCAATAGGAACTCAGCGGAAGTAACTCGACAGCTGGATATTAAGGGATTGGATGTCAGGATATGTTGGGCCTGCTGGAATCTGCTTTAAACCATAGAAACCTCTTATTGGTTCATACAAATGGGAGCAGAAGTTGTTGATTTTAGAAATACATTCAGAAGCAATAAGTATGATTGCTCGTAGCGTGGGGGCAAGACCACGCTACGAAAAGTCGTCGCACTGAGCTAATTTTGTTCGTCGATGTTGAGGAAGAAAAGGATGGACCTGAGTGTAGTTCCCAACTCCCTAACTAGACGGAAGCGGTTCAAAAAGGCGGTGATGCTAGTTGCAGCTGTGAGTGCAAAGTGTGAAAGAGTGCAGGTACATCAAAAGAAATCAGGAAGCAGCAGCTGTTTATTAGGTTATATATTCACGGTAGTAGAGTAATGTATTATCATCTTAGTTTTGCACGAGAATTTAACACACTCAGATAAAATAAAACAACCAATAATGACACTATAAGTTTTTATATTGAAAACTCTCAAAGAGAAAAAACCACAAGGTCTGAGCAAGATGATAAATTCACAATAAGTTAATGATTACAAATACCACTTGTCTCTGAGACGAAAAATGGTTATTAGGCTTTCTAAGTTACAGCGTTAACTGGAGACTTCTGGACGATGGTGATCAACGGTGATTGGTGGTGATTAACAGTTGTCAGTGATCAACGATGGTCAGTGGCGATGGATGGCGACAGTAGTGTTCGATAGCGATCGACAGTGGTTGACGGCGATCCGCGGCGGTTGACGGGGGAACTCAGCGGAAGTAACTCGACAGCTGGATATTAAGGGATTGGATGTCAGGATATGTTGGGCCTGCTGGAATCTGCTTTAAACCATAGAAACCTCTTATTGGTTCATACAAATGGGAGCAGAAGTTGTTGATTTTAGAAATACATTCAGAAGCAATAAGTATGATTGCTCGTAGCGTGGGGGCAAGACCACGCTACGAAAAGTCGTCGCACTGAGCTGATTTTGTTCGTCGATGTTGAGGAAGAAAAGGATGGACCTGAGTGTAGTTCCCAACTCCCTAACTAGACGGAAGCGGTTCAAAAAGGCGGTGATGCTAGTTGCAGCTGTGAGTGCAAAGTGTGAAAGAGGGCAGGTACATCAAAAGAAATCAGGAAGCAGCAGCTGTTCATTAGGTTATATATTCACGGTAGTAGAGTAATGTATTATCATCTTAGTTTTGCACGAGAATTCAACACACTCAGATAAAATAAAACAACCAATAATGACACTATAAGTTTTTATATTGAAAACTCTCAAAGAGAAAAAACCACAAGGTCTGAGCAAGATGATAAATTCACAATAAGTTAATGATTACAAAGACCACTTGTCTCTGAGACGAAAAATGGTTATTAGGCTTTCTAAGTTACAGCGTTAACTGGAGACTTCTGGACGATGGTGATCAACGGTGATTGGTGGTGATTAACAGTTGTCAGTGATCAACGATGGTCAGTGGCGATGGATGGCGACAGTAGTGTTCGATAGCGATCGACAGTGGTTGACGGCGATCCGCGGCGGTTGACGGGGTTAGTGGCGATGGATGATGACAGTAGTGTTCGATGGCGATCGACAGTGGTTGACAGCGATCCGCGACGGTTGACGGGAATCGACGGCAGGCAGCGATGGTCGACGATGGCCGACGACGATTGACGGTGACAGGGGTGGTGCTGAAATTCTACTCCTTCTCAAAGTTTTTAGCTTTCTCTCAAGCCCATAACACCCTCTCATGAGAGGGGTGAGACTATTTATAGGTTATGGGAGCAATTAATGCATAAATATGAACAACTTTGATCAAATAGTCCGGAGAGTTTTCTTCAATCAGACGGTGTTTTATGGACATTTGAGTGCCCGAACGATGTCAAAATTGTGCAATGTTAGACTCATTGGATTCAACTTGTGGAGACGCTTGATTCGATTATAGGTTTGCTAGATTCGACATTCGTTTAATCTTCTAAATATGTCTGGAAAACTTTCAACTGTGGTTTAATGACTTGACATGATTTTGATTTGACTTGTAATGGACTAATTTTGGTCTGTGGTTTAATGACTTGACATGATTTTGATTTGACTTGTAATGGACTAATTTTGGTAACATTGGGTTCTTCTTGTCAAGTCTGTCAATTTAACTGTAAGTCTGTTGAAATCAGACTTATGGATAAGTTTTTTCTCGAGATTTGAATATTTCTTGCTCAAAAAACCTCCTCGAGATCTATGTCGTGCCTTGAGATTCATGCTAAATGATGGAGATTTATTAGAGATGTGTCAATATATAACATCTCCTTGCTCAAGCCGCAAACCCTTTGGTATTTATAACACATGAGTAAGCTGAGGGGCCAATTTCGACGGTTATGCTACCCTCAACCATAAAAGGGAAGGAGCCCTGCATAGTAATATTGACGTCTATCATGTGCTCCATCTGATTGTGTAATTTAACGCCGCCGCATTTCGTGTCACCTTGCTCGCATGGGAGCTAGGAAAAAAATTAGCACAATGGAGGGGAAAGTGAGGTTTACTTGAATAGTACGATAACATTACTTTCATCATACCATAACATTACTCTATTGTTTGGCATGGAGCCATAACGTTGCCTGTCAACGTTGTGAGACCAAGTTGAGAAGCTTGTTGGCTAAGATTGTTTTTCAAGCAACATGTCCTTAAGTTCAAGTGCCACGATCGTGATCCCAACACCATCACCCTTAATACCCTTGTTGACTAAGAGTAGTAATGTTTTTCAAGCAACATGTCCTTAAGTTCAAGCCCCACGATCGTGATCCCAACACCATCACCCTTAATACCTAGAGTATGTTTTATTACCGAAAGCCACAAATTTAATGCTAACACCATAGGCTTACGTCGTTTCCCACGTATGCCTAGTGCCACAAAGATATTCTTAGTTCCATGTTCATAGGGTTCATAGGCCCTAAGCCTATTTAGCCATGAACCACAACTCTATTGACAAAGCGACAACAATGTGCTCTCTATATCTAGTGCCTTGATGTCAAGATCTATCTTAGATTTTTATCTCTCGAGACACGCAACAATACACCTTGCTTGTTGTAGTGCACTGACTTTGGGTTTACAAGTCATCTAGTTGTTTGGCTATGACGAATAAGGTTAAACTCCTATCCCTTATAGGTTGAGGACATAGGGATTTCCACCTTAGACAACTACTTTTACCCTTAATGGAGGTGATAACCTTTGCTAGCTAACTAGCTCGTTAGTCATGTCTTCCTTTGGCAAAACAAAACCATATTTTATGTGTTAAAAAGGACTTTATCGCTGCGGTGGTGTCTTTTGGCACTGCGGTGCCAACACCTTTTCATCCAAAACTCATATGTCTGCTTGTTTCATGACTCATTTGTTGCATTAGTGCTTTGCCTATTTTTATCTTGTTTACTTGTGCATTTGTCCTGCATTTTTTATTTTGTGTATGTTTTTTGCTATTTCCATAATATCAACTTTTGGTGTCTATGATTTAAGGCTCGCCTTGAAGCACCAAATTTTATATAGCATGTGTTATGCTCGTATGCATGACTTGCTTTTCTAGTTGAGTTCATTATGCCACATATTGGACGAGTCTTATGAGTCATCAGTCTTAATGGTGGGATCCGTAGTAAACCCTACAATTGACCTATGATATTGATGGGATAACGAGTATCGCCTAACAAATTATCCAAACAAGTGATATGAATTATCGTAGTATTATCAAATCTTATAGAATTGTTCCAAGCATATAAGTGAAATAAAATTTATCACCGATTTGACAAGTATTATTCTGCTTAAGTACTGAAAATGGAGATAGCCTTAGAGACATCATCAAGATCCTATAAGGACACGCTTAGTCCGTGCACCACATGACCTTCACTTAGGTGATGAATAAACAACACCTTATAGATGCTTCTTTAGATTTAGGGTTTGGGTGTGGCAAGAATTTTTATATGCAAAGTCATAGTGTCTTGTGCTAGTGTTTTGGCCATTACATTTTAGCTTATTGCTTTTGGGTGTTTATTGAGTTTAAGGTATACACACTTGTATCTATGGAGTGATTTTATTGTAGGGAGTTATGTCCAAAATAAAGGAGCATAATTTATATGTTTACCTAATGCATATTTGTAGGTGATGCTTAGTTCTACTCAAGTCATATTTATTTATTTATATGCTTCATGATATATACATATGTTAACATTAATTTTACAGATTGAGTCTTTTTTTGACTTTTTTTTATATATCTTCTAGATTTTTTGAAGGGTCTATACTATAAAGAGTATACGAGTATGTGTCCTCGAGGAGCTTGGAGTATGAAACTGTGTGGCAAGAATCAAGAGAAGTTTGTGCATACCTCATACATTAATTCCATATTGCTTTTGTTGTATAGACTTAGGATCTGGTGTGTATATACAATAACTGACCATAATTTCCTCTTTTTTGGTATATATTATCGACCTAGTAGCATCCGACCTTTTATTATATTTATTATTTTTCTATGCTTAATTTATATTGCACAATGTGTCGTATTTACTTTTTTTTACGTCTTGTTTTGTGTGGAATTACAATTGCACTTAGGCTCTTAGGATTAAATCTTAAGTTTAAAAAAAATCTAATTTTAAAGATTTATCCTAATAAAATTTTGGTTTAAAATAATTAATTTTAAAATGAGCATTTTACTTACCTATATGGTCCTCCGGGTCAATTTTAAAATGGATTTGTATCATATCAGCATCACTCATGTCAAATATAATTGGGCCTTCACACATTAAGGTTTTAGATAATTTGCACTTATTTTTCGTGGTCAGTGGAGAATTATTCTTATTTATTCTGCTTGACTAATCAAATAAGACTTTTCAGTTGAGTGGTTGATTAGCATGATCTGAGTGCCAAAGATTTTCTTATCCAAGACAGGGATAATTCTTTTATGGGGTGGTTTAGTTCTATGAACTAGATTGTTATTTTCATTTTCACTAATGTAGGTTTCCTGATCATATGCGTGGCAAGTATAAGCTTTGCTCTTGTCTTTGTTGTCTAATTAGGGTCATATGAGCTTGGGCATCTCTTTCTTATGATTGTAAGTCTCTTAAACTCATTGGTTGAAGCAACACATGTGTTGCTAACAAGTAGTTCATTATCGTGTTGAGTCGACTAACTTCAGAACTTAATATTCTTAGGATTTTAGTAGCCTAAGATGTTGGATCCATGGAGTCCTGACTTTGCTACCTCTACTTATCTAGGATTTTTTTACTTACCAATTGGCCCCTCAATTTTTGTCCTGTCGTACTTCTTATTGAGTCTTTTGTAGTCATTTTGTATGTTCTTTTATGTTAAAAGACGACTATTATATTAGGTTGCATTGATTCATCATCTGTTTGATAGCCTAATTTTACCTTGACTACAAAATGTTTCTTCTATTGAATTGATGAAGCCATCCATGTTGACCTATTGTTAGGTATTTTAAAAGCAAGCATAACACATTAATTGAGAATTTTCCTTGCTATCCCGGATTTTATTGAACCCATAAGAAAAAATGAATTTGATTTTACTCTGGTTTCAGATATGATGACTTTTGTAAGCCTAATTTTTCTCACTATGTTACTTTTGAAATGAAGGTTGCATGAAAAGGAAGATGTAAAAGTGGCTAATATAATGAAAATCACATAAAGGAGTCCAACTATATATGTATCATAACAACATAAGAGCAAAGCTAGTGGGGGAACCCCTGGTGGCCCACTATTGCTCTGCTCATGACTATAGCCTTCGATGAATTGAATAATTGATTTAATCATCACATTTTAGAAAGGATTAAATTGCTGGAACGATAACCTCATCTGCTTCGTTGCAATCCTCGAGGATAGGATGCGAAGCATATGGTGGGCCAATTCTGCATGGCAACCCAACTAATGAATGCCCTGAATCGCTTTCAACTGCCTGCAGCTGGACTGATATTTTAATTGCATGTATTCGATGGCTCAGGAACTCACATTTAAGACCAACTGTTAAGTTGCCTTTTAATGCTCGTCGTCTAGTAATTGTCCGATAAACTGGAATCTCTCCTCATTTGACTTTCCGGCCATCATTTATATCTTTGCATATATTTTATTTATTGGAGTTAAATAGTTTCGGAATATTAAGATAAGAATTAAAAAATTATGAAATTTTAAATTTTTTAAATATATTTCTTGTTTTAAAGAGTGATGGCCATTTAACAAATTGAAATCGTTTAGCATGGATCTATAAGTGTAATATGAATCTCGAAATAATTATTTTAACATAAAATATTCAAATTTCAATTAAATCTCATTCATAACTCTCAGTAAGCTTGCAATTAGACTATCTGACTCGACGAGACAGACCCAATGACATCAAAGTTAGTCTAATCCGAGTTAAATTAAGCACAGATCAGGTTGTTTAGCCACTTTTGGAAGTTTTTAGTGCCTAATTGGAATGTCAACTGAATTCCAAATCTCACAGGCCTATAATCAAATCAAGTGTCTCAACAAGTTCTACAAGCCCAAGATCTCTAAATTCTTATATCATTAAGAGCTAAAATGTTCATAGAACGTCATCTAACAGAGGGAACCTCTCCAACTCGTCTCATGTGGTGGTATAGATTCCTTACTTTTATGTGGGAAGGTTTCCTTTAGACTCAATAAATAGAGTTCAACCCCCTTCATAAAAGAGGAGCTATAGCTGAGGCTAAAGGACTGAGAGAAGAAGGAACTAAAACACTATGTCATTTATGCACAAAGGATCCCACGAACGTTTCTCGTTCCAACAAATGCCGACCACCATTGACCACTGCTCGTCGACCATCATCGATCACCGTCGCTAACTCGTTGCAATGAAGCCCCTTGCAAAATCATGACTTGCTTTCTGCAATCCAAGCATACATTATAGAGTAATCAATCACCATGCAGAGTAACAACCAACATTTCGAAGTAACGAAGTATTCTATTAAGCAACACACCCTGACGACGGTGTGGCAATATGCCTTGTAGACGGTGTAACAACATCAAAAAGAAAGTGCAACACATGCCCTGAATTCGGTGTAACATCTTTCTCTAAATACGATGCAACAATGCTCTCCTTATTTAGTGCAATGACGCGCCCAACGTACAATGCAAATGATGTCTTTCAAAGAAATTGTAACAATACACCCCACAATAACTGCTTAAAACCGCTGTACTCAAGATACAACAATCTTTTACAGACACATGAAGCTCTTTTGTTGCAGTCCATCACTACGGCCTACATGACCACCTACAACCGACACGATCCACAACTCATGCAACTCTCATCTTCAACCATTCTGGGCTATTGATGTTATCTCAACTCATGCAGTTCTTAACTTCGGCCTCTACAATCTACAAACGTTATCTCAACTTATATAACTCTCAACTCTGGCAATGCGACCAACATATGTTATCTCACCACAGCCTACAGAAGTTATCTCTATTCTTTTAGCTAAATACTACGATACTTGTGGCATACCGGTGCTTTTGATGGAAATATCTAAAGCTCACTTTACAAACTACTATCATGACTTTCAACTACAGTTCCTTTAACAAACAAGCACTACAGTCACTATCTACAACATTCTCGCCAGACTAGTGTTGTGAAAAAATGACGGCAATAAAGCGAAAAATCAGATTCAGAAAAATTACACCAAAAAAAGACGACACAAGATTTACGTAATTCGGCAAATTGCCTATGTTCACGGAGCTGCAGAGGATTAACAAGATTTACGTGATTAGGCAAATTGCCTACGTCCACGGAGCTGCAGAGGATTTTATTACTTCGAGTAAATTATACTATCGAACTTCTCGATATTTACAAGAAAAAACTCTCTATTTTTCTCTCTCCTCTCCTCTCTCTCTTCTTTTCTTCTCTTCCCTTTTTCTCTCTTCCTCTCTCTCTCTCTCTCTCTCTCTCTCTCTCTCTCTCTCTCTCTCTCTCTCTCTCTCTCTCTCTCTCTCTCTCTCTCTCTTTCTAAAGCCACGTGAGAGAGAAAACAAGAAAGAATAGCAAACCGAAAAAGAGAAGCTACAACAGCTTTTTGTTTTTCCCTTGCAAGCTACAACAACTTTAGCCGGCCTTTTGCTTTGCTATTTATAAGAGGCTCAAATAGCTGAGAAAGGTAATTCCTAATGCCGCGTTTCCGCGTGAGAAAACCGTGTGAGGGAGAGAGCTTTGGCGGGACCGCGTGAGGGAGAGGGCTTTGGCGGGAAGAATATTGAGGAAGCAAATTAAGCAAATATTAATTACTTTCTAATTATTTCAGTGGACCAGATCTCCACTAATCTCAACAACTAGTACCTCCATAACAATCAATTATGTCATTCCTTAATGTTACACAAAATGTAAATTTTATTGTGCTACAAAACGCTTGCGAACGTTTTATTATTTGGTCATCTACTTCTTATGAGTCTCTTTAAGGTTGGGATAGTGAAGAAATATCAATCATATTAAAAAAATGAAAAATAATATTAATCGTCTTCTTGCTCTATTAGTTTTTGTATGTATTGGAAATGGCTAGCGGGTATTCTACCTCTTATGGGTTCATCTAGGTTTGGAGTAGCAAGCCAAAAAAAAACAAAAAAACAAAAAAAAAACAAAGGTTATTTCTAAAAAGGGTTTTCTTCTTGAATTTAAAAGGAATGATGTCCATTCTATTTCAACGATGCCCTTAAATGCTATATTAAATGCTTTTATTCTTAAATATTTCTACCTATTACCTGAATTTCATTATAATATTTTAGCACAAAGCATTAACGTTTTCAATAAAGTCATTATTTCCCACAGTTGTAAGAATATATTGTGGAATGATAATAAATATTTTTCTTCTATTGAAATTATGTCTGCCATTTTAATAATCAGTTCTTCTAGTGAAATTATGTCTGCCATTTTAATAATCAGATGAATGTTTCTCGGGTAATTTTATATGAAACAGAATTCTTCTAGGTACATTTTTTTTTTGGAAAAATGCATATAATTTAAAAACTAAATAGTATTAGGGAGAGTTTGAGACAGCTTGTGCGTTTCAGGATAAACTGTTTATCCTGAAACGCAACCCGCGGGTAGACCGCGAGAGTCGATCTACGTCCTGCGTTAAGTGCAAAAATGGAACCGTGTTTCCGGATAAGCAGACAAAACACGCGATCCAAATGGTACCGTGATGTTTTCAAAAACGCCCCCGCACTTATAAGCTGCCCCAAACGGGCCCTTAATATAGGCGACCGCTTTCTATGTGATGTTGCCTTAGAAAAAAAAAATAAAATCACCATTATTTTTTATTTCAATATACACTTTAAATTTAGTAATAAAATTAGTTTCTGATGTGAATTTTTTTTTTTTTGTTGCCCCAAAATTTGGATTGCTTTATAATTCATTTTCTTGACATCATCCCGAGACTTCAT